AAGGGGTCTCATTTAATGAGATGGTGGGTGATCCATGAATTCTCTCCAGCATTTCTTGTTAAAAAAACGTCAGCAGCAGATGCAAAGGGCTCTGTGCATCTGGGCTGTGGTGCACTGGGGCGGGAGGAGGACGTTCTCTCTCCGAAGCTTTCCAAATCTCAACTGCTCTGGAGTTGCTATGTGTCCCATGGGGGATATACATACCAACTCAGATATTTACTTTTCCCCATGGGCAAATAGTGGATGTGTTGGGGGGTTAATCGGCATGAAGAAAAGGGTTAGACACCATTCTTCCACTCTGTAGTCCCGATCTGAATTTCCAGCTGCTGCCACTAACAGTTGTTTTTTTTTTAAAAAAAAATTGGCAGATCCATTCACAGATCTCTAGCATGGTGACTCAATTTGCTGTTTATTTCAGTGTAGTGGTTAGGAACGCAGACTCTGAAAAGGGTTAGACACCATTCTTCCACTCTGTAGTCCCAATCTGAATTTCCAGCTGCTGCCACTAATGGTTGTTGTTGTTTTTTTAAAAAAATTGGGAGATCCATTCACAGATTTCTAGCATGGTGACTCCATTTGCTGTCTATTTCGGTGTAGTGGTTAGGAACGCAGACTCTAATCTGGGAGAACCGGGTTTGATTCCCCACTCTTCCACATGCAGCTGCTAGTGTGACCTTGGATCAGTCACAAATTCTTTCAGAGCTGTTCTCTCACAAGCAGTCCTCAAAGAGCTCTCTCAGCCCCACCTCCCTCACAGGCTGTCTGTTGTGGGGAGGGGAAGGGAAAGGAGATTGTCAGTCGCTCTGAGACTCCTTTGGGTAGTGAAGAGCAGGGTATAAATCCAATCTCTTCTCTTATGTATGTATGTATTTATTAATTTATTTATTTCTGTCTGTCTGTCTGCTGTCAAGTCACAGCTGACTTCATTATTTGAATTTATGCTTATTTTTTGTTTTTCCTTCCCCTCCCTTCATCTATCTATCTATCTATCATCTATCTATCGGGTATAAATCCAATCTCTTCTCTTATTTATTTATTTCTGTCTGTCTGTCTGTTGTCAAGTCGTAGCTGACTTCATTATTTGAATGTATGCTTATTTTTTGTGTTTTTCCTTCCCCTCCCTTCATCTATCTATCTATCTATCATCTCTCTCTCTCTCTCTTCTATCTTCTATCTTCTATCTTTCTATCATCCTATCTACCTACCTATCTACCTACCTATCTACCTACCTACCTATCTCTTTTTTACCCTGGTTTTCTCCCCAATGGGTACCCAAGGCGGCTTACATCATTCTCTCTCCTCCATTTTATCTTCACAACAACCCTGTGAAGGTAGGCTAGGCTGAGAGAGTATGACTGGGCCCAGCTCACCCAGTGAGCTTCCATGGCATTGGGGGGGGGATCTGAACCTGGGTCTCCCAGAGACTAGTCTGCCACTCTTAACTATTAGACCCCACTGGCCCTAAAACAGAACCTAGATGGTCCGAATCCACCACACGGCGAAGCTATGGGTCTGTCATTCCTTTTCTTCATGCCCACTGCCCCTTGAAGCTGTTTTGTGTGCTGAACTATAGCCCCCCTAAAAGTGCTGAAGAAGGCTCTGAAAGTGGATCTTTGTAGAAGTCCACTTCCAGACACCTGCCTACCTCTCCACACAACCAGTGTGAGGAACACCAATTTGAGGCAAGTTTGCCTTGGACATACAAGGCCAGGGGTCACCAACATGGTGCCCGTAGGTGCCATGGCACCTGCTGACACCTTTCCTGGTGCCCACCAAGTGTTTTTAGAAAGTGGGTGGGGCCAGGTAGGGCTGTTGCCCAGGAGGGCTTCTGATTGGCCACTGGAAATTTGATTGGCTGTGCAGATTTTTTTTAAAAAGTTGCCTAGCAACCACTGCCACCATAGCACAAGGATCGTCAATGTGTGACTGACGTTAAACTGCTGTGGCCATTTTATGGCTGGCTCCACCTCCTGTGGCAGCCATTTTGTGGTGGCCATTTTGTGGCTGTGGCCACCATGCTGTGTCAGAATTTCAAAGGTGCCTGCAGCCTAGAAATGGTTGGGGAATCCCTGCACAAGGTGATTTATTTCAGCACTTGCCAATTGATTCACTGCTTATGGGTTCGTTACTTTAAAATAATTAAATTTGGGGGCTTACAGAAGGGAGTTCTGGAGATCATACCAGGAACTCCTAAGAGCCTGTTAGTGCCTGTCCTGATCGAAATGCTGAGCTTCCCGGTCTGACAAAGTGCAGTCTCAGACACAATAATAAATCAAGAAATCTATTGGCCTTTCAGGTCTCTTTCTGTTTTTGCTGCAACAGAATAACCCCCTTGGAACTTCCTAGTAGTCTTTTCCCGGCGACTATTTCTGATTTCCTCACGGAACGATTCTGGGTGTGTTCTGAGCTGTGGCTTTGAGACCACGATGAACCTCACGCTCTCCATCCTTTCCCTATGAGCCTTCTTTCTCCACACAACCAGTGTGAGGGAACACCAATTTGAGGCAAGTTTGCCTCGGACATACAAGGTTAGGGGTCACCAACAATGTGATGAGATTCTTCACATTTCCTTCTATGGTTTTTCCACACCAGGCTTCTGATGCAGACGAGCTTCTTGACTGCACCGGGTTTCCCTCTCCCTTACCGACATTATGATTCGCCCAGCACTCTCCCATTTTTCTCCCCCGAGTTTTCCTTGCGTTTCTCTAGACCACCTCAACTATGGTTTTAAAAATGGAGGGTAAACTGTGAAGAAAAGCTGGGGCAGTGGCAACCAGCGAACCAGAAAGGCCAGCATCCAGATGGGAGCTGGGGATTTCCTGGAATTACAACTGATCTCTAGATTACAGAGAACAGTTCCCTTGAAGAAAATGGCTGCTTTGGAGGGCTGACTCTATGGCTGATTGAGGTCCCTGTCCTCCTCAGGCTCCACCCCCAAATCTCCAGTAGTTTCCCAGAGTGCCGATTGTGGAGTTCAGGGGCTTGCCTTCAGGGGCAATGGCCTCACATCCTTCCTTCAGGGTTGGGGACAAAGGGTGGCGGTAGGGGAACAGCTATCTTGAAGGCACCCACTGGTTTGTGGAGTGCCTCAGGGGGCGGTACTTTCCCCGATGCTGTTTAATATCTATATGTGCCCCCTTGCCCAGATTGCCTGGAGGCATGGGTTAGGGTGTCACCAATATGCGGTGACACCCAGCTGTATCTGTTGTTGGGTGGCCAGTCTGACTCTACCCCAGAAGATCAGGACTGGGCGTTACAAGCTGTGGCTGGTTGGCTTAGACTGAGTCGACTAAGATGGAATCCAACAAAGATGGGGGTCCTGTGCTTGAGCCAGGGTGGCCCGAGGGTAGGGATCCCACTCCTGACCTTTGATGGGGTGCAGCTGGTGCCAGCTTGGGAGTGCTCCTGGATGTCTCTTTAACAATGGAGACCCAGGTAGCAGCCACTGCCAAGTCAACCTTTTTATCATCTTCGGCTGATCAGGCAGTTGGTTCCCTTCCTCGAATGCAACGACTTGGCAACAGTGATCCATGCAATGGTCACCTTGAGGTTAGACTACTGTAATGCTCTCTACATGGGGCTGCCCTTGTCCCAAATGCAGAAGCTGCAGCTAGTGCAAAATGCTGCGGCCAGGCTGTTGATGGGCCTACCTATATGGAAACACATCCAGCCTGTGCTGAGAGCACTGCACTGGCTGCCAATAACATACCGGATTCGCTTCAAGGTGCTGGTTTTGACCTTTAAAGCCCTTGATGGTCAGGGTCCAGCATACCTAAGGGACCACATTTCCCCATATGTTCCCCAGAGAAAACTGCGTTCAGGGGCCCAGAACCAGTTGGCCCTTCCAGGTCCCAAAGACGCCAGGTTGGCGATAACCAGGGCCAGGGCCTTCTCAGTGGTGGCTCCGTACTGGTGGAATGAGCTTCCGTAAGAGATCAGGGCCCTGCGAGACCTTTTACAGTTCCGCAGGGCCTGCAAGATGGAGCTCTTCCACCAGGCATTCAACTAAAGAGCTGCATTATACACCGAGGAGTGTCCCTGTGCCCTGGCCTTACCATCTTTAGCCCGCCCGTGCTGCATGTATATAAGGAGATCAATGGAGCTGGCGCAGGAACATCATTATCACTGCCACCTATGGAGTATTGTGTAAATCTGAAATTCTCTGCTCTCGCGCTTTATCTGAATACTGCACTTTAGGATAACTGGTTTATATGATTTTTGGTTGTTTTTATGATGTATTTTAATTGTATTTACATATGCATTTTACGGAATCCACCCTGAGCCTGCCTCGACAGGGAGGGTGGGGTATAAATGGAATAAAATAAATAAATAAATAATAACCCTCCCCCCCATCCCCACTGGTGGCCAGGGCGGGTGCGGGAGGGAACTGGCAATCCTAGGGCAAACAGTACTCGCTGTAGGGGAGAGAAGAGAAGAAGAAGAGATTGGATTTATACCCCGCCCTTCACTACCCAAAGGAGTCTCAGAATGGCTTACAAACTCCTTTCCCTTCCCCACAACAGACACCCTGTGAGGTAGGTGTGACTGAGTGAGCTCTGAAAGTACTGTCCTTGAGAGAACAGCTCTGAGAGAACTATGGCTTGCCCAAGGTCATCCAGCAGGTGCAAGTGAAGGAGTGGGGAATCAAACCCGGCATTTAACCACTACACCAAACTGGCTACACCAAACTTAACCAGCACACTAAACTGAGAGGAAATGAGCTACATCAAAAACCCAGTGCGAAAAAGGCCCTAGTCTTCGGCTTTCCCTCATCACATTCAGAGACAGCTCCACAAAAGTAATTTACTCTGACAACGTCCTGTCCCAGCTTCATGGAGGAGGTTTCTCTCTCTCTTTCTCTCTCTTTAACAAGCAAACCTGGGCAACAACAAAAAATATATATGCAAACTTATACTGACAACTCTGTCAGGGCATCATTCGGGTTAATGCATCACGCTACAGTATTATTGAAGCCCGGCCAAGGCAGAAGGTGGGCCTACCGTTGTCAGCTGCCAGGAACGTGGCCTCGTAGACGTTGTTCTTAATATAGGCTGACTCACGATCAAGGACGGCGGTGGTGGTGATCTGACCGTTTGTGGCATTAATGCTCAGCCAGTTTGCCGGATCTGACAGCTTGGAGTATCTGTGGAGAGCAGGGATAAATACATGGCAGTCTCTTCCCGTGACAGGTCCTCAACATGGCTTGGAAATAACATTTGGGGAAATGTTTTTGGCACCTCCTCGGGTCCGCAGACTCCTAGCCCCCTTCTTTTTGAAAGAGCATCTGAATGTTTTGTTAGGACCGAGTGGCCTGTTATGAAACCCATCATTAGATCTCTTCATAGATTCAGGTGTGGTAGCTGTGTCGGTCTGAAGCAACAGAATGAAGTTTGAGTCCAGTGGCACCTTTAGGACCAACAAAGTTTTATTCAAGGTATGAAGAAGAAGAGGAGACTGGGTTTATACCCCACCCTTCACTACCTGAAGGAGTCTCAGAGTGACTTACAATCCCTTTTTCTCCCCCTCCCCACAAAAGACACCCTGTGAGGTAGGTGGGGCTGAGAGAGCTCTGAGAGAACTGTCCTTGACAGAACAGCTCTGAAAGAACGCATGACTGACCCAAGGTCACGCCAGCAGCTGCATGTGGAGGAGTGGGGAATCAAACCCAGTTCTCCCAGATTAGAGTCCGTGCTCTTAACCACTACACCAAACTGGCTCTTGGATGAGCTTTCGTGTATATGTATACAAGCACAAAAACTTATACCCAAAATTAAACTTTGTTGGTCTTAAAGGTGCCGCTGGACTCAAACTTTGTTAGATTTCTTGATATTTTCTCTTTTTAAAACAAATTGAAGCTCTGCAGGAGAATGGGGTGTATGTGTCAATTTGATTGTGATGGAGGGAGGGGAACAGTTAACCCTTTCCCCACCACATTTTTCCTGATCAAAACTGTCCCCGAGTTCCGATTTGCGTTTCAGAGGTAGGGAATATAGATAACTGCAGAGTAAACAGTATCCCTGTGAATGGGGTGATTTTACGTAGGGGGGGAAATAGCACAGGTGGAAGGACTAAGATCTTTTCTTGCTTCTGCTCCAATCAAATTGAATGCTACAAGGAGATCACATTAAAAAGAAAAGAATGGGAAATTAATACATGGATAATGTGTATTTCCGTATCTCTGAACACCAACTGCAGGGGGCCACAGCAAGAAAAGGCTTTGGCCTTCGGTCCCTGCTCATAGGTCGACCGGTGGCATTTGGTTGGCTGATGTGGTAAACAAGATGCCAAACTAGACAGACTGCTGGTTTGGCCCAGTATGCTGCTTTGGATGGTTTACGTGCAGTTATTGACCAATAAGGCCGCAACCGAGTGTCTGTTCCTGACGGTTCTGATTTTGACCACAGGAATGGCTCAGTATATTTTTCCAGTGGCAAAACGTCATGCCATTCATGAACACACACGGAGCTACCTTAGACTGAAATCAGACCATTGGTCCATCAAGGTCAGTATTGTCTACTCAGACTAGGGTTGCCAAGTCCTACCTTGGCTCGGAGCGGGGGACTCCTGGGTCAATCCCGGTGCGCGCGCGAGCCGCATCCACATCACCAGGAAGTGACACGACCACGCGGGGCACGCTGGGGGCGGGGCCATGACCATCCGAGGGAAAACCATAGAGTTTTCCCTCGGATGACTGTGGCTCCGCCCCCAGCGTGCCCTGCGTGGTCGCGTCACTTCCTGGTGATGTGCACATTGGGGTGGAGTTCCCCCTGGGGCCGGATCCGCTGGCGGCGGCAGGGAACAGGCCTCTGGGGTGGGGGTTTCCCCGCCCCCCGGGGGGACTTGGTAAGCCTAACTCAGACCAGCAGTGGCTCTCCAGGGTCTCAAGTGGAGGTCTTTCATGTCAGCTACCAGCTGATTCTTTTAGCAGGAGATGCCAGGGATTGAACCTGGGACCTTCTGCATGCCAAGCAGATGCTGTGCTGTTGAGCCACAGCCCCTCCCCTTTCCTCCCAGCGCTGCTTCTCCCTCAGTTTCCTCTTGTCTACTGGCAGCAAAAGCATTTCTTAGCAATCTGCGAATAACAGAAGAATGGGCTCCAGTGGACTGCCAAAGGGTCACGGTGTACATATTTTAATTCACAAAGACATTACTTCTTATTAATTCTATTAAAATATTAATATCCCCGCCTTTCCTCACAGCTCAAGCCAGATTCCGAACAATAATTAAAAGCACTGCTGTTTAAAAGCCACAAACAAAGACCCCCTCCCCATAACCCCCCCTTCCTCCCAAGGAGGGTGAAGGACCCCGGTCAAAGACCGTTCAAACTGGGGGCTAAGAAAAATATCCAAAATGTGCCTCCGGAAGCACCAAATTGCACAGTTAAAAATAAATGAGGCACATAAGGGTCATTTATTATTTATTTCGAAGATTTATAACCTGCCTTCCCGCCATTTCGGCCTTCCAGGCAGCTCATAAATAGGTCTCAGCAAAGTTGTTTCCAAGCCCGGCAGCGGAGGGCTCCTGTAGGTGGTCCCCCCCCCCCCGGGAGGCAGATTCCGTAGAGGACGGCACTGAGGCTTTGTCAAATCGCATGCTCAAAAAATATCATGGCCTTTCTGTGACAGCGACAGAGGGTACCCGGTTCAAGCCCCACTGCTGAAACGAGGGGGCAAAGGGTCCTGTCAGTTATAACTCTCACCCCGGACCTCGAATACTCCGTAACAGAGCACGGGAACAGACCTGCACAATTTCTGATCAGACCAGCAAGAATGCAGCCACAGAGTGATTGTGGAATTTGCTGCCAGAGGATGTAGCGATGGCCACAGAAATAAACAGCTTCAAAAGGGGATTAGATAGATTCATGGAGGACAAGTCTATCAAAGGCTACTAGCCATGGAGACTGAGGGGAACCTCCTCATTCAGAGGCACGAATCCTCTGAATCCCAGAGCCAGGAGGCAACATCAGGGGAAGGTCTCGGCCTCTGTGCCCTGTTGTTGGCCCTCCAGAGGAACTGTGGTTGGCCCCTGTGTGAGACAGGATGCTGGACTAGATGGACCACCGGTCTGATCCAGCAGGGCTCTTCTTACGTTCTCATGTTTATTAGTGACGCTGCTGACATTCCTTTCTTCCTGGTTTCAAACCAGGGCTGCCAACTCTTGTTAGGGAAACACCTGGATGCTTGGGGGGGTGGGGAGCCTAGGGAGGGTGGAGTTTGGGGAGGGGAGGGACCTCAGCAGGGTATAATGCCACAGAGTCCACCCTCCACAGCAGCCCTTTTCTCCAGGGGAAATGGAGCCCTGCTGGATCAGAGCCCTGCTGGATCAGACCGGTGGTCCATCTAGTCCAGCATCCTGTCTCACACAGTGGCCAACCACAGTTCCTCTGGAGGGCATGTGAGCCACCCCGAGCCTTTGGGAGGGCGGGATACAAATCAAATACATAAAAATAAATAAATAAATAAATGAATGAATGATCTTCATTATCCAGGGATCCGTTGTGAAAACAGATCTCCAGCCCCCACCTGGGAGTTGGCAACACATGTTTGCTGCGTATCTGCTGCTCTGCTTTGTTACGAATGGAGCTCCCCTATTAGTCTCCATATGAAGTGCAGGTTAGATGTTTTTACCGGTATACTTGTTTTGTACTTAAGAGTAGAATCTTTTAGAAAAAGAGGGTAGGGCTGCACTGTAAGGGGGGGGGGGAATCGAGACTACAGAAGGAACTACAGTTGCCAACTCCAGGTTGGGCAATTCCTGGAGATTGGGAGTGGAGCCAGGCAATGTTTCCTCTAAGCTGTGAAGTCTTGTGAGCAAAAATTCAACTTTGTGAGCTACTGGCATTAAAGTGGTGAGCGAGCGATTTGGTTACTGCATAAATCAGTTTGCTTTGGAGCCCTCCTTCCTGAGCTAAGACAAACATGTGTGAGCCGGAGGCTAAAAAACTGTGAGCTAGCTCACACTAACTCAGCTTAGAGGGAACATTGGAGCCAGGGGAGGGCGGGGTTTGGGGGAGGGGAGGGGTTACATCAGGGATGCGATGCCATAGATAGAGTCCGTCCTCCGTAGCGGCCCTTTTCTCCAGGGGAACTGATCGCTGTTGTCCAGAGACGAGTTGTAAAAGTGGCAGATCTCCAGGCCCTACCTGGAGGTTGGCAGCCCTAGATGGAACACAGAGAGCACAGAAGAGGCATACTGGCTAGGAGACTCACCTGAGTGGTCGCTGGTTTGATTCACATTTTGACTCATGTCAGGAGAGCCAGTTTGGTGTCGTGGTTAAGTGCGCGGACTCTAATCTGGGAGAGCCGGGTTTGATTCCCCACTCCTCTGCGAGAACAGCTCTGAAAGAGAACTTGTGACTGACCCAAGGTCACACCAGCAGCTACGTGTGGAAGAGTGGGGAATCAGGCCCGGTTCTCCCAGATTAGAGTCCGTGCTCCTAACCACTACACCAAACTGGCTCTCAGCATAAGGCAGCTTCATGTGCTCAGCCCCGTTGCTTGGAGGGCACGAAGTGTGACGGGCAGGCTACCTTTACGTCCTCAGCTGTGTAGGCTGGACGTGGGACTTGGGAGCAGGCAGAAATTAGCAGAGTCACGAAGCTAAAGAGCAAGTGTAGTTTGCCGGCGTTTGGCTGCGCTGCCCCCCCATTCCGACCTGTGCATGGTCACAGCTTGGACAATCAGCAGCGCACAGCCCCATGTTGACATTTTGGAGACATTTCAAGCCGCAGAGCTCTGCGAACAAAGCAGGTCTGCAAAGAACCTCCCCCTCCCCCTTCTCTTCATTCTTCTTTCAGACCAGAGAGCATCCGTCCTGGTCGTCTTCATTCTTTGCCACACTCCGCACAGCTGGAACCAACAGAAGGAAAACTGTTTCCCTTCTGCATACCTTGACGCTGTGCGAGAGGCAGGAGAAGAAGGCCCCCTCTTCAAAGGCCCCGGCATTTCGGAAGGAAACAACGAAGAAAAATGGCCTTGTTAGCCGAGACGTTCCCTCTGTCCTTAAAGGTTTCGCTGCCTGTCCAAAGCCAACAGACAGAGGCAGTGAGTAACCACCGTCATTTTCTGTTCCAGACAGCTCCATCCCAGGTGAAATATCTCAACCCTCTAATGATTATAAAATGTCACAAGTGATGTAAGTTTAATTGGCCCCGGCTCTCGTTCCGGAGCGTGCCCTCCTGCTATGCCAAATATATCTGGCGCCGGCAATAAAGGGGGTGACAGATAGCCGGCCAAACGGGAGGGGTGGTGGTGGGGGGAAAGGCAGAGTTACAAATCCCTCTTTTCTTAGGCCTCAAGCAAGCAAACGGTGAACGATGGGCGAGTCCCGCCGAACCCGATGAGATTTAAGCACACTAGGCTACAGGTTGGGTGGCCACTTGACAGTGCAGACAGTGATCCGTCTTGGGAGCCCCGCACTGTGCCAGAACAAGTGTCTGCGAGCAGGAAGAATCAGGGGCACTTTGCTTGTTATATCGCTAAGCAAGGCTCCCTCTACGCTGCGGAGTCTTCGGAGCAAAAATTCTACTTTGTGAGCGACTGGCATTAAAGTTGTGAGCGAGCGATTTGGCTACTGCATCAATTAGTTTGCTCGGGAGCCCTCCTTCCTGAACTGAGACAAAAATGTGTGAGCCGGACAGAGGTCATTTCGGGGGGGAACGCGGGGGAACACAGTTCCCCCAGGCGAGGTATGGGGGGAGGGGCACATGACGACGCCCCGCCCCCCGCTTCCGGCCGCCCCGCTTCCGGCCCTCATTCTGCCAGGAGGAGGCAGGAGAAGAGGGAGGGTAAGTTGCTTCCTCCCTGCCTCTCCCCACCCCTGCCTGCCTGGGGCCAGGGAGGGCCTTTGCGGGGCTTCCTTGCACTCCCGCCGGCCTTGCAGGTCCACCGCCGGGCCCCTCATGGGGCTCGGCAGTGGAGCTCCAAGGCTGGTGGCGGCGGCCGGGACTGTTGGGGGCGGGGTGTGTGGCCTTATGACACACTTCCGGTGATGTCAGGGGGTGTGGCCTTATGACACACTTCTGGTGATGTCAGGGGGTGTGGCATATGCTAATGAGTTATGCTAATGAGTTCCCCTAGCTCTTTTTCTACGAAACGACCCCTGGAGCCGGAGGCTAAAAAACTGTGAGCTAGCTCACACTAACTCAGCTTAGAAGGAACACTGTTGCTAAGGCGTACATCTCTGGTTTTACATCT